TACATGAAAATTGATTTTCGTAAAATTACTTAAAATTACGTAAATTTACGTAAAATTACAGTAATTTGCCAACCCTAGCTGAGGCACCTAAGCGGTTCATATCAAAAATAAATGCCGAAATAGTTTCTACGACATATATACTTACGTACGAGCTTTCCTAGAATTTGTATGATCTTAAAATAATAATAATAATAATAATAATAATAATTTCTCATTCATTTATTTCATGTAAGTATACAGTATATGTCGTAAATAATAATAATAATAATAATAATAATTTCTCATTCATTTATTTCATGTAAGTATACAGTATATGTCGTAAATAAGAACAGAACTTAAGTTGATTCGGAATTTTTAAGGTTAGAGTTGGAATTTTTGGCATAATTATTCCGTTCTAATCTAAATGGATTCAGATACAACATATATAATATCTACTATATATAAGTACTGTATGTAAAAAAATATAATTTTATTTAATTGTTAAAAAAAAAATAGTTATTTTCATACATATATTTAAAAAAAAATAAAGGTTCGTTATAGCACATACATATATATAATATATATATAATTTTTCTAATTGTTAAAAAATGTAGTTACAGTATATTCATATATATATATATATATAAAAATAAATGTTCGTTATAGCACATACATATAAATTTATTGTTATAGAATAAGATTTAGTTCAAAAAATCTAACAGTTCTACAATGCATAAGGTTGATTTTCTGAGTTAATTTCAACCATAACTGGAGAAGACAAAATCTCTTCATCTTCTCGAGGTGCATCATTAGTTTTTGAACTTGAAGCTTTTCCATTTTCTTCTTGTTCTCTAAACAAAATATCGATAACTCGATCGATATTTCCATGATACCGTTTCAACAAATCTTCATATTTTTCATTATCATCTGATGAGAATCCCATGGAATTTAAGATTTTAATTTTTTCGGATAATTGTTCTGCAGAAAGTTTGCGATTGTGACAATTACGATAAGCAGCATAACCCCGATAACATCCGGAATTAGATGCATTATTACATGATTTTTTATCAGAACAATAGTTCTTTGCTCTGGTAGATTGATTACATTGACTAAATGAACGACCACATTGAGGGCTAACGGATACGAAGTTAGCATAAGGATAACCAAAAACATGTGGGTAAGAATTGAAAGAGCTACTGTATCTAAAAGGGCAATGGCTAAATTGAGGACTATAATAATGGGAATATGCCCAGGGCCGACGAATCAAGAAAATAATTCGAATAGGATCATGTTCATTGGCATCTTCAGACGATTCTTTAGTAGTTTTAGGATTATGTTCATTAGCATCTTCAGGTGATTCTTTAGTAGCTTTAGGTTGTTCAGGGACATCTTTATTGACATTAACGAATGATTCATCAGTTTCTTCATCAGTTACTGACACATGAGGATAATAAGAAGGAGGTCGAGAATCAAGTTCCGGATTAGGACGTGATTCTGGTTCGTGTACTTTTGTTTCGACATTGCTATTATCTTTCTCGTGGTTAGCGGTTGTTAATATGAGTTTAATAGGTTTGCCGTTGGAGTATTGTGAAAGAACTTCCTGAAGTTCTAAATCGCTAGAAATGGTGATCACATCTCCTTCTTCATCAGTATAAGAGACATTTAATGGATTATTGGGAATTTGGAAAAGATCTCTTAATTGAGATTCCAAATTGATCCAGGTAGAATCAGGAGAAATGGTAAAGCGACGAACTATAGAATTATAAATAACTTTAATTGTTGCCATTTTATAAATAAATAATACTAGCGATAAATTTTAAATCTTTGAGTATATTTAATTTTTATTTTCGAAATATGAATATATGTTGAATTGATAATTTCACAACGAGGTTTTCATCCACACCTTATATACTTTTCCTCTACCTACACACGCAATCGATTAATAAGCCAAAGAAAAAATTCTAGACTGTCCTTGAAATCGATTTTAAAACGAATCGTGGTTGCCGAAGTTTAGCCGCAGATACAGAAGGTTGCTGACGTATTAATAACAACGTAATAAAGCTGATACTTGTACGCTTAATTCGTATGCACGTACAACGTCAATAACAATATTAATGTCAGATATTGCCATATATGGTTAGCATTCGATCGAATTTAATTTATTTATAACTGGATTTAGCAAAATTATAAAATTCTAGAACTACTTGTTACGTTCTAGAACAAAAGATACGTCACGAAATTGACGGAATCAAGTTACTTACGTATTCAAATTACGACTAACCCAAAAGATGGCCAAAGAAAAAAAAAAGTATATATATATATAGGGTGCGTTAATTATCAATTGTTTTTATAAAAGAATGGCAACAATTAATGTCACATACGGAAATACAATTCATAACATTACACTCTCACCAAATTCCACATGGTTAGAATTAGTATCTAACCTTCGTGATCTGTTCCAAATTCCTCGCGGCGCTTTTATCACTGTATCTTATATCGACGAAGATGGTGATATAATTACGATATCAAGTGATATAGAGCTTTGGGAATTTTTTTCACAATATTCGGTTAACAACACAATTAAACTTACATTAAACACTACAAACTCCCTAATTAATAATGAAGGTACTTCAGCATCTATGCCAATTATAGAGACTACAACAGCTTTAGAACAGTTAAATATCAATGATGAAACTTTAAAATCGAACCATAGTCATGTGACATTGGATACAAATCAACAAAAAACAACTAGTGAAATTGACAATGCGGCTTGGTCATCTTCCATAACTAACCATATCTTGAATGAAGCTGATGAGGAAGATGAACCTGAAATAATTATCATATTCTCTCGTCGACCATTTAGAAAATTTCGACAATATTCGCATAGATATAGTGGATGTCCTCATTATGGAGAACGAAATACGCATGGTAGACATCACCCTTACAAATATCAACTTAATTCAGAAGAATTGACTGAAAAAGTCAAAATTTTAAATTCAATGGGATTTAGAGATACGAGTCATAGAAAATATGAAGAGTTATTAGAACGGTTTAATGGAAACATATCACGAGTTGTTGATGTACTGGTTAGAGAACAAGAAAGTAGAAAACAAGATGATAAGAGTGAACAAGAACAATTAGGTGAGCCGGGAGAAGCAAGTAATAATATAGCAATGGAGATTACTGATTCGGAAAATCGACCTTACTTTTTGTAAAAATGAATACTTGTACGATTTATTTAATCTAAATTTATAAATTATGTAAGAATTTTGAACTATTGAATAAATTTTATATTTTATATACTCATGTGTTATAAAGAGTATTAATGTCTGGTATCTTTACTGCCACCAGGAAAGAAATTTTCTAACATATTTCGAGTAACTGGACGAGTATACTAGTATACTTATATATCTTTATTCTCATCCACTAATCATTTTAATCAAGTATACTTATACCAAATCCCAATTTTATTATGTTTGGAATTTGGGGATTTTGAGTTTATAGTTTGTGCGACTATTTTTATATGCTTCACTCTTATTTATATAACGATGATATAGATACACGTCACTCTGGTTATATAGGCATTTTTGAGGCATTAGCAAAAAATTTCAAAATTGTCGATACGTATAGTGAGTTATACCGACATTTTATGTGCTGAAATTGGCTTATGCTGAAATTTTGCCGTATTTTATTATGACCTTTGTTAGGGTTTTTTTTAATAGTTTTATTAATAAAAAGTATATGTGAATTTTTAATAGGTATTATAAATTTAAATAGAGACCCCAAGTTTTAGCATAAGCCGCCACATTTTATATTAAAATTTTTGAAAAAAATGTTAGTATAGAAAGATTTTACTATGATGTTACATCCAGATGTCGGTATGCCCAGAATGACGTGTATATAGTCAAGCCTCCATATCTGCAGGCTCTATAAAATACATAATTGCACCCTATGCCTCAGCCCCAACTACTAATGAACACTTATAAAACTACGCTTGTGGTCAGTCCCAAGAGGGTGTATATATAGAGGTTTGACTGTATTTAATTAGAATAGTTGGGATGAAAAGTATGCTCGTTGATTTTACAATATAAACTAATTTACCATTAAAAAATTTTGCTGACAATCAATTTCAAGAGCCTTTTGTGATCCAAATCGCTATTTGGGGGTGAGTCAGTAGAAACGCACCATATTTGGTTTTTTTTAAAAATGAGTTTTTGTAATATATAGTTATATTTTATTATAAAAAATAAATTTACTTAATAAAGATTTTTAATTTGTTTAATAAATATTTAGAGAAAAAAAGATTAAAATTTTACTATATAAAATTTTGTAAAATCAATTTTAGATCGGTTGTAAATCGATCTTAGATCGATTTTGGGGTTCGGATACTAATCTAATCACGTGATTTAGTGGATTTGTGTAACAATATTAAGTGTTTCAGTAGAAACGCACCATAATCTAAAAATAGATTTTTATAATCACTAGAAATAGATTTTTGTAGTAGGTAGTACATACGTATCTTACATAGTATGCTTATCATTGTTATTCATATCGATATGATTCTTCCTGGTTAAACTAATCTTTGATTTAGGTATTCAGTGTTTAAAAAATTAAATCTAAATTTTGAATACTAAAATCTTAGTTTAAAATATAATAGCAGATTTTGATCATTAACTACAATTTACAGTATCCAGAGTCTTATTCAAGAACTCTATTTTCTAAAAATTTGAATAGTACTGGGTACTATTCATAACTATAGCAATTTCATTTGTGAAGAGAATATAAGATAGTGGGCTTTGATTTAAAAACTTTCAGTATGCTAAATGTCAAGAAGGTATATACTCATTTTTAAATACTTATTAATTGTGTAATAGTTATTGTATTTATTCTGGTTAATACTAAATATTATTAAAAATACTTGCAAATTATAATATTCTTGAAATTAAGAACTTGTCCCGGATCTTATATTTTTTATGTTTATCAAAGGTTCATATAGATTTTTTTTTTTTTAATTGATTACAAAGGTAAAAGCAAAATGAGTTAACTATAAATATAAAAATATCTAAAATTTAGGATATAATATCGTTGTTTTGCTAGTATAATATTGAAGGTAATTAGAAGTAAATTTTATATTAGAGGATTTCAAAATTAAAATAAATAAAAGTTTAAAAATCTTATTTTTATGTTTCAAAATTCTGAAATAAGAAAACTAAATAGGTGAATACGGATATGAAATTTATAACCTTTTTAAAAAAAAATAGAATTTAAAGATTACTTAATTTGAAATTAATTTATCATTTATTTTATCTAAAATTAGATGCTGAATTATTAATTTTGAAACTCTCAGTATCAGCGATTTTATTCTATATAAAACCTGTTTTGCTACTTAGTCTTTAGCTAGCAATTCTTGGCTAGCCAAAATTTTTTTTACCAATACTAATTCTAATTTTTAATATTTCTTACATGTATATTATACTACAGACATATGGGCGAATCGGCAGAATTGGACCTTAGCTAGAGACACCAAATTTTAATTTAAACCTCATATTTTCTCATATTTAATTGGATAAATGTACAAAACAATTACTCAATAATATTTTAATAATTTAGAACTATGCTATAAATAATTATAAGGATATAATGATTATACAAAACTATGTGTCAAACCCATCTGTCTCAGCTAAAATCTATCTGTTTTCTATTAGTTAGAGCTCTACTCAGACATATTATTTGACAGTATTGTATATCGCTAGCTCAAACTCATTTGTCTGAGGCATGTTGTTTGAACAATTTTATTCTTTAAAAAGGTAGTTTGCATAACCTTTTCATTGTCAAACGACCTGACCCTTCTATAAAAATTTTTGGTGTACTGTGTCTACAGTTGCGTATTCCTGCATGATTCCGCATATTCGCCCATATGGAACTATAATAATAAGAATATAGTAAATAATTATTATGCAATACACGGTTATGTAATACAAAAACTACTTTTGAGCTGCTTTTTATGCAGGGATATTCATGATCAAAAATTTATGGCGAAAGCCTATTCCTAGTAGTATACAAACCAATGAGTACTGAAAAACATCCAATATTTGATAGCGTTTTTGCAGAAACGCATAGAGAATTGGAAAGTCTAAATAATGAACTAATTCAATTGTGTAATTCTTATCAATCTACATATAATTCAGATGAAGATGAGAATGCAGATACAGATATTTCATATTCAAATTTATCTTCAACAGAGAATAAGTATAGCAATAGTAATTTTGATGACATATTTACTTCTGATCAAATAGATAATTTTTATAAATTATACTTATCATTTCCGATGCAAAATATAATAGAGTATCAAAATATTCACACAAAAAAATTAGAAGAACAAGATAATAATGCATTTATACAAAAATTAGAGCAAAAAAAATGTTGCACGAAACTTTGTTTAAACAAAGTTGATCATCAATTAGCATTAAATAGATTTAAGGAAGTTAAAGCAATGTCTATTTCTGAAAGTAACTTTTTTTTTTTAGAAATAATCCATGCAAATATTAGAAAATCTGAATTAATTGATGGAACACTAAAAACTCATATAACTACTAAATATAGCTTTGAAGGAACAGAAATTTGTCTGGAAGCTTGGCTTTTAATACATGGCATAGGTACAACACGATGGAAATCGTTACGAGATCATTATCAAAAAAATGGACTTGTACAAAAATTTCATAATCTAACAGGCCGCAATAGCAACAATGCAATTCCTTTTATTACAGTTTTATCTGTATTAAAATTTATAATTAATTTTGCCAAAATTCATGGACTTCCGTCACCTGGTTAGTATATAATTTAATATTAATATTTAATTTATTGGTAATAATATTTAAAATATTATAGGACGTAGTTTTCATGATGACACCAAAGATATTATGTTTTTGCCATCTTGTGAATCAAAATGATTATTGTATCAACTATACAATAGTATAACAACTGAAGAAGAAGACAAGCAAATTAGTTTATCAAGCTTTTTATGAATATGGAAAAGATATCTTCCAAATATAAAATTTATGACACCGCGCAGTGGTTTGTAAATCAGCCAGGTTTCAAGTTAAATATTGGTCCACAAATAAAATAGAACAAAAAATTCAAGAATAGACAAATCATTTTAATTGGGCTGGATTAGAGCGTGAAAACTACAGGTGGAAGTTTATTTGTTATACTGATTGTAATAAACTAATACATTTTTGGATATTACTACGTATCACTAAAACTATAAAAATAAATTTATTTAGAGCATGTGTGTTAAAAGCGAAAATAGCACTAAAATCATTAGGTAATATAATGCGCCCAGGAACTCCTAATACTATTGATATTGAAAACCACATATCTTGGGATTTTGCTGAAGGAGTTCAGATTCCATATTCGTCCCAGCAAGAAGGAGCCACATACTTTAAGTCTTTTTATAAAATAGAAGTATTTGGTATATGCGAAGAAGAAATACCACGTCAGGTAATAATAGGTTATAAAATGTTAATAGATTCAAATATTAAATTTATTTATTTTATTATTTTATAGGTTAATTATCTAATTCCTGAACACGAAAGCATTGGAAAGGGAGCTAATTCAGTAGTGTCACTTGTGCATCATTATTTTACAACACATGGTTTGGGAGAAAAATATGTAACGATTCATACTGACAATTGTGTCGGACAGAACAAAAACAACATAATGATTAAGTATTTAACTTGGTGAGTGATGAATAGCTTGCATGATAGAATAATATACAGTTTTATAGTCGTTGGTCATACTAAGTTTGCACCTGACAGATTTTTTGGTTTATTTAAATTGAAGCTTCGAAATTCTGAGGTTGATGATTTATGTGATTTGATGCATGTTGTAGAGCAATCAACTACTGGTAGATACAATCAAGCAGATACAGTTATGGGCTCTGATGGATTTCAAAGAATTATATTTTATGATTGGGCAAAATTTTTGGACAAATTTTACACATCAATTCCATCTCTTCTTGAACAACATCATTTTATTATGTCAAGCAAAAATCAAGGAAAAGTGGAGACAAGAGCACGTGTTGATGGAAATATAACTCAAGTTTTAATTGCACGAGTCAGTACAATTCCATGAGCTGAAAATGGAGCATTAATTCTTCCAGAAGTTATTATGCCGCGTGGTATTAGTTTAGAACGTGAATGGTACTTATTTGATCAAGTAGCACAGCACATTCAGAATTCCTCAAAATGTGATATTTATTGTACAATGCCTAATGTTCCCAAGCCAAAAAAATCAAAACATTAAGCATTCTACTTTATTATTCAGGTATTTATAAATAATTAAAATTACAACATATAAAAAGAGATGCTATAATAAATGAACTCTAATTATTCTTGTATATCAAATAAAACTTAGATTAATATATACGGCTAAATAATGACAAATAAATCTTCAAACGATTTTTAACAAAGCTTTCAGCTTAACTATTTTCATTTCGTTACTTCATTTTGGCATCCGGTGCAAAAACAAAAATATCTATTTAACGAACTTTTAAACTATTTGACATACTAAAAATTCATTTTAGAATTTATGCTATAAGAAAACACACATTGTTACAGTTATGAAGGTTAAGGGCATTAATAAAATTCTCGGCTATAATTCTGATGAGTAGAATGAAACCATAAGAGTTGCAATGATAGCTTATTTTTTCGGGGGGGGTTTTTTTTTAAAAAATAAAAATATACTTTACTCTTAACTTATCAAGTATTGAGCTTCTGGTACGGCACAACTATTAAAGTTTGCATTATTATTATTATTATTGATATCTTTAGCATTACCACATCTTAATAATGCGTTTAATCAATGTTAAATCGGTAATGATTTAATTGTGTTTCAAAAAATGGGTTGGAGGTACTTTACAATAAAGTATAAATGCTAGATAATACAAACTTGTAAGATCTTTAACTAACGTATTATGGTTTATGATAAAGTAAAGAAACTGGGTATTGTAACCTTAGAATCTGTATTCCTTAAAGGCTTTGTTAGCCGAATAAACTTTATTAAGTATATTACATCTGTATTAGAATCAAACACATAATATGGACTATCTGTTAAGTTCATTCCTTTAATTAATCACTTTCTATAGTTGTCTAAATAACAGTCAAAGCCAAAAACTCTACGGTATTCTCAAGCGTCTAACTTAATAAATCAGAGAAAATTTTAATTAGTTTACCCGATCAATTGAGTTTAATATTATAGTACAAATTTAATTAATAACTTAACTAAGTCCTAAATTCCAATCTTTGAAAGGTTTAGGCATAGCTATAATGGTTTTTTAGTGGAGTTGGTGCCTTTGCTTACACCTCATTCAAACTTCACGATCTAGTACAGTAGTAATATAATTTTAACATTTGTTCTTGGCCCACCACTATTACATATCACAAGTAAACGAACAAATACTCAATATATCCTTTGTGCTTAATTTAAAGACGATTTTGCGCCAATTCTGGTGAATATTTTTCTTCTAACAATACTGCAATAGTGGTTCCAACTGTATATAGGCTCGTAAAAAAATTAAAGTGATTATGATTGGTTCCGAGAGATACTTGTTCGATTCGGTCGATCATTAGGCCGGATGATTGCACACAACAAAATTAAAACGTGATTTTCTCAAAATTGTGATTTTCATGATATGGTGCGTTTCTATTGACTCAACCCCATTTGATTAATAACTAAACGATTGGAACCAATTAACCGTTGATTATCTACAATATAATAATTTATATTACAAAACCTTTAAAATATCTATTACATGGTGCTTTTTAACATAGTTATTTGATACATAAATTAATTAAAAGTCTAATATTCATATAGAATTAATGTGTGTAATATATAAATGCAAAAGTCCTTAGAAGTTGCTCAACATTCGCTTATAATAAGGAGTCACTATAACTTATCCTTTTGCATCCTTAGTAATATCAAATGGTATGCATAGTCCAGGGCATGGATCCTGTTTAGAGTTTCCAGTTGCCCACAAAACTTTGCGATATAGTTCAAACGAACTAACTGCCGAGTTCGGATAACAGGCAACTTTATGTTCACAAATCCAAAAAAAATTAATTTTATCCTTCGGCCTCATCCTGTCCTTCATCCAAAATTCTTTCGAGACTTGTAACGCTCGAAGAAGTATACGTGTTTTCATTCCTATTTAACGTACTATAAAGATTAGCAAAAATAAGCTCACTATCAGTGGTTTTCCAGCAACGTATTTGAATCCTTCCGGGATTTCGGGCAATATTCCAAGTAGTGTACAATCTTGGTTTTGATCTTTGGTAGGTTGACTTTCAGCAATATAGGCTTTTACGGATTTAGGCAACTTCATGTGATTTTTTTAAAAAAATTCCTATAATAATACTGTGAGAAGCAATGCGTCGAAAACGAAAGTGTTGAAAACTTAACTATTGGATAATAAAGTGTTGGGGAAATAACTCTTTTTTATACGTTTAACAGAAACGCGTGTAATTAGAGGTGGGACATTAGAACATGAAATAACATACGGCATAGCCGTATCTGAGTAATTACCCAAATTTTATATGACGTAAGAAGGTAATTACCCTTGACCTAAGGAATGTCCCCACCTCTACGTGTAATCAAATTTCACCCAATCACCAGTTGAGTTTTTTTCAGTCAAATGAACTCAAATTAGCTTTTTTAATAAGTATACACAGTGACGCTTAATATACGGACTCTCGATATAACAGAGGCTAAGTAAATCTTGATATAATGAATCAAAGTTCAGATCACATCATAATAAGATATATATAATGGATTTACTAATAACTCACAATATTGCAGATTTTACCCAAATGTTACGTTATACAGTATCAAGAGTCTCTGTATATATACAGTCAACCTCCTATATAATCACATGTTTTTTTACTTAAAAACTTTTTAAAAAATGTGCTTATAAAGAGGATGTGCTTATATAGAGGTAGTTTTTTGTTCTTAAGTACAGAATGTGATAAGAGAGATTTTTATATTATAGAGGTGATTATATAAAGGAATGACTATATACGGGCAGCCGTCAATAGAAATCAAGCAAATTGACATTTTAAAAAAAATCTAAACCTCAACTTTCACAGCTCACATCTCAAAAGAAAGCTTCAAATTTCATTGAGGTATAGATTTTTTTAAAAATATCAATCTGCCTGATTTCTATTGACGGCTGCCCATATATACAATATATATCCCTATCTCTAAAAAAATAATAGTATCCATTTTAGGTTACACAAAGATTTTAATTTTTGGGATATTAACTGTATGTATTTATAGGCTTAGAATAGCTCATTTTAATTAAATATTCTTTAAGCTCGCGTGCGCGAATAAAATAAAAAATGACATACAGTATTCATAGACTTTGAATAACCTATTTTAAATTCTAAATATACAATCGAAATAAGACTAAATAGTAAACATTTAATGGTTTTTAATTAAAAAAAGAAAGGAAGCACATCGTCTAAAAAATGCCGATTGCATCGACAAGATCATTATATGTTCGTGTTTAAAGAAAACATTCGTCAAATTTACTAAAGTACTATAGCTGCATATCACTCACTAACGTTATTTCAGATGCTAAGGATAACTGGATATCTGCGTTAAATATCAACAATGCAATTACATATTAAAAATCGTATCACATTTTATTATACCAGATATATATATATAATTTAAATTATATATTATTACAGTATTAAGTTCGAAATAATTACATCAACCCATGTATAGAGTTTACAATAATGTTCGTATTCGGCGAATACTCGAATAAATAATTATTTTGCAAATAACACGAATATTCGAATAATTTTATTGACATGTTATTCCCGAAAATTCGAAGAAATTTATTGTCGACTATTAGTCATTTGGCGAATATTCGAATACTATAGATATATTTTGGCTTGAATAATTCAAATATTATTCGAATGGAAAACCTGTAAGCTCTATACCCATGTAATTGTCGTCAATTTTCAGATAAAACAAAGGTGCTACTTAGAAAGTTGCTTGTGAATTAAAAATGAATAGAAGAATATTGGTGGGGTTTAGAAGCTTAAAAGAGGATCTCCAATTTCATTTTGGTTGTGAAGTAAATAGCTCAGAGCATACACTAAAAATAGGTGTGATTATATATTAGCTTGTATTCAAATTTAAGAATTACATTCATCTTAGCATACATTTCAAAGTATTGGTTCATAGGTTATTTCTTTTGGTTTAGAACTTGAGCAGATTATAATGTCATCTTCGGAAAATTCTTTCTGGTGTTCAAACACGCCAACTCCTAGATCCTAATTTACATAAAATACGATTACAAATAAGAGATGATTTTAACGTATAAACAAAATCAGCATAGTTTGGTTTAATTACCCATTCAATTACGTATTCCGTGTCCTCCTCGATATGTTCGATATTAATCCTAGTTGGGTCTTCTTTCGCAAGTTGTTCATTTTTTGATGCAATGCGCGGCAAGAATTCAGTAACCCTTGAAAATACTGTAAACCAAAGTTGACTTTTTTTTCTTTTTTTTTTTAAAAAAAAAAATTATATTAATAATTACACATACAATTTGTAGGAGGTTTCAAAGGGAAAGTCTTCAATAGGTTTTTATCACTTTTTTTAATTTGCTCAGTGTTGGAACTTTGCTTTTCTTCATTTTCTGATGCGATTTGCGGTAAAAATTCGTTAATCCTTGAATACACTATTATTATTAAATAAGATTATCAGTGTTCCAGGTTTGCAATAAGATTGACAAAACTTTTTTCTTGTCATACAGTCTGTAGGAGGCGCCAAAGGAAAGGTTTCTAATTTATCGGATTTCTCGGATTTTTGTTTCCTATTTCGTTTATTCAAGGATTTACTTCCAGTCTTCTTTAAAAGACCGGCTTTATATCGAAGAGATTTTGGATTTAAAAATTATATTGTGGCTATCAAATGTATTAAATAACACGATTACAAGTCATAAAACTCACCAATCTTTTTTTCTATAATAGTTTCATGACAATCTTCAAAGTCTAAAAGTTCTTTGCTTGTATTCACTGGCATTGTCTCGACTAAACGCATTTTTCTGTCGCGAAACTCGAAATTTATCAAAAACAAATGACATGATTGACCAATGAAATTACAGCAGATCAAAAAAGCAAATTATTTGCCGCAGAAAATCATCGATGACCCAGTTCTGCGGAAATTCCACATCGCTTGGGGCATTTATACATGTAGAAACTATTTCGGCAGGCATTAATTCTTAACATGAAACCGCCAAAATATTTCAACGGTTTCATACGTATTAAGAGTCAATGCCGAAATAGTTTCTACGTACGTACAGAATTCCCAGTTCCGTAATTCTCCCTGTATGGAAATAACCATCAACCAATCAAAATAACATCTAATATTTGATTCAATACATATAAAAGAAAAAAAAAACTTATCAGATTGAAAAAAAATATTTGCGTTAAGCGTATTGTATCTCCTTTGCGAGTTAAATCGTTACTTGCGCACACAAATAGTTTTTTTTTTCTCTAAAAAATGTCCAACGAACTAGCTATTGTTTACGCTGCCCTTATCCTCGCTGATGACGGGGTTGATATTACCGTAAGTATTGAAGTTGTCCGTTTAGAAGTATTTTTTCTTTAATAATAAATTCTGAAATTATAATGATTTTAGGCCGATAAATTGCAAACTTTAACAAAAACTGCGGGTATTGATGTTGAACCTGTTTGGGCTAATATGTTTGCTAAAGCTTTTGAAGGAAAAAATGTTACTGATTTATTGATGAATGTTGGATCTGGTTTGTATTTTATTATCAATATGGGATCTTTGCTAGGAAATTAACCCTTCAGAGATATGTAGATTTGGGGTGTTCTCAAGCACCTACCTCAATGGACTCAATAACGAATCTGATTTGTCAGTTTAATCAAACTAGTCAATCATATTTTTTATTGAATTCATTGAGGTGGGTGCTTGAGAACGCCCTTGGTGAATCAAAATTAATTTTGCTAATCATTCAATAATCTAGCACAAATCAACTTGCTTTTGTCTCAGAACTCGCTAAGTTCTATGTTATAAAAAAAAGTTTATTCAAATTGAATTATAGAATGGTTAGCCAATTTAATTCTTTTATTCATCAAATCTACATAATCCAGGATTATTTCCTAGCAAACCCGAAGTTTAACTATCAATGGTTATATATTAATTCGCTTTTTAAAGGTGCTGGCGCTCCTGTTGGTGGTGCGGCTGCTGGGGGCGGCGGCGGTGGTGGTGCCGAAGAAAAACCTAAAGAAGAGGAGAAACCAGCAGAAGAAGACAAAGAATCATCTGACGAAGATATGGGATTCGGTATGTGACTGTACGTTCTTTATTAATAAATTTGAATCATATATTGATACTCTTTACTTTTAATACATAGGTCTTTTCGATTAAAAGAATATATATTTGCATTTGGCCAGAATACTATATCCTTGCTAAATAATTTAAAAAAACGACTACAGTTAATTTTCAGCTTAGCTGGTCGATTTTTTTTAAAATCATATGATGATAAGCTTTTGATCATTACAAAAGGTTGTTTTCGCAATTAGCAATTAATAAATTATAAATTAAATGTCAAGAAATTTCCATAAAGCGCCTACTGTAATCAACCAATAAAATTTCGAGGATTGATAATCAATTGTATAGATTTTATTTAAGCTAATAAAATCTGTAATTAATATATCAGATACAGTATATACTGTATATAAAATATAAACAATTCTAGTTCATAATTCTTAGTTATTTGAAACATTTTATAAAAAACTTGCTTTACATTTCGTGGAAAGATGTCATCGGTGTGTATCGGTATGTTCGTGTTTAAGACCATATACTTAAGTAAGCTAAGCAACTAAAATGCTAAATGGATTAGACCTTATAACAGTGCAATTGATGATGCTACATTTGCATATCTCAAGTTTTATATATACACGATTAAAACTGTCAAGTCTATTGTCGAATTTAAAAAAATGATACCGTTGGCCATGCTTATCGTTACAGTATCCTCCGAAAATAATACATATTCCATAAGACCAGTGTCTGAAATTGGGTTGCGGACCCGCAGTTCCGCAAATAGATTGCATATAGAATGTCCGAATTTGCATATAGATATGTTCATATGATATGCGCAACTAATCCGTAACTCAATTGAATTTCAGACACTGATTAAGACCCTGGTATTATTCACCATCACCACTAACCCGTTTCTTGAATAAGCGACTAAGTCAATAATTTTATCGGCTCCATCTAACCGATAAACGTTGAACGGTCAGGTCACAACTTTGCTGCACGTAAAAAAGCTCAGAGCCATTTAAATTTAAATTTAATTAGCTTTGGACCCACACCTAAATAATTAATAGTTATCAGGCAGGCACTGCCTGATAACTGGTTTATTTGATCAAAGATTTAAAATCAGACTAAGAAATTGAATTCCGAAGGAATTCAACTTCTTAGGCTGACTTTAAATCATTTGGCCAAATAATTAAATTATAAGGCATCTGCATGATTGATAACGGATTTATCCGGTAACTTATGACGATAGTCTGCCCAATAACAATTTTATT